CGGTCACGCGTCCGGGGTTCCGCGACAGATAATTGTGGGATTATTAATTTTGATCGTTGGGTTTATTGGACGTTTGCAGTTCAATAATAATTCAATTCGTGTTTATTTAAGTGCAAACTTAACAGCACAGAGGCCAATTACAAAGCTAGCACGAATAGGGAAATACAAAAAATAATTAAAAAAAAAACAAAATACAAAAATGATAGTCTATATTAGTTACACAGTTAGCATGAATAAAGATACAGAAGCAAACATACACAGACAAAGCCACAATGTGAGAATTTGAGTTTCAAATAAAGCAGCATACAACAATAATTACGAAATTAATAAAAATAATTATAATAATAATAGTTTAATTAATTCCGTATAAGATATATTTCATCAACAGAGTTTTTGGTCCAAAGACGCCAACGTCCCTACAGACAACATTAGCAGCGGACGCGCATCTAGCAGAGGGACAATTTTTACTAACAGAACAGACATTGAACATAGGAAAGTCTCGGATATATCGAACAGGGACCCGAAGGCCAACAATTTCCAAAGCAGAAGGGCAAAGTACAGAACCACGATAAACTTGAATAAGGAAGAGCGCATCAAGATGATATCTCCTCTTTTGCAAGGTGTGCAATTGCAATTGTTCTAAAGCTAATTCGTAACAGTAATCTACTTGAGGAAAAAACGTTTAAAACAGAGAGCCGTAAATTTCTCCTGAATTAATAATAATAATAAAAAGATATTACAGAAGGTTACGAATAGAAAATTAAAAGGAATATTTCAGGAAGCGGTAGTGAAATTTAATAAAATTCTACCTCATAATTCGTACAGTAACTTAGGAAAATTCTAAAGGATTCAGGTAAAGTTATTCCCAGACTTAAACAAGTTCCATGCCATGAAAAATTATGGGTGAGTGGAGGTATACCTCCACCATTATTACCATTATTAACCTTGGCATTGAGAGAAGTGAATTTTCAACTTCAAGCCCCGACCGCTTTACCCCCGGCGAAAGGCCCTATCATAGGACAGGAGGGCGGATGGGCGCCAGAGCCGGTCTTGACGCCCAGGAGAAAGGGGTACCCTCTTCCCCCTACTGAAACCGAACCCCCTTTCTGTACTGACTGAGACCACTGTTCCAGATAAATTCTGAAGGAGGGAAAAATATGGACTTCCGATCTCTAGACCTAAACACAAACCGAAGGCTCTCAAAATACTGCACCGCCATCAGGAGGAGCAAATTTGTGGGTCAATATACACAGAATAGACCGCAATCTCCTTCCCGATTTCGTTCTCCCTATGTTGCATAACCTGACGAATGCTTTATGAGAGACGTTGGGACCCAGACCTACCTGAAATACGAAAGTCGCGCAAGAAATTTTCGAAGAACATTCGTGATTTTCTCAGTCCGCCCTAACTAAAACGGTAAATGTAAAGGACTTGGGGTTCTCACAGCGGTGAGTATGAGGAGTACTGTATTCTTGGATATAACGTCCCGTACTTACACACGGAGCTAAGCCCTTCTTGAGGAGCTGCCATTTCTGCAGCTACTCAAGAATTTCCCAGCATTTTATGGAACCCGAAAGTTCATTACAATGTTCACAACAGCCTTCAACTGCTCCCTATCAAGAGCCAGATCAATCAAATCCATACCATCCCATTCTAGCTCTCTAACATCTTCGTAACAAACTTATTTTTTAATGTGAGGAGTTGTTAGCCCCACGCCCAACCCCCAAGCTGGAGGACCACCTCCTGTCGGCTGTCCGCGGGAGCTTATTCAAAATATTCGCAGTTTCTCTCCATAACTGAAGGATAACGCCCTGTAGTTCGTTGAAAGTCAACCGACGTTTCGGAAGAACATCACTTCCATGGGTGTGTTACTCCAAATTATTAGATGTTTTTCAAAGCACTATACGGTGTCATATCCACGAATCTAATACTCTTTGATAAAAGTAATGAATGTACAAGGGTTGGGCCTCCTTGGCCCTTGCACCGCGACCACAGTGATCTATTGTGCCTCGATAAACATAAAGTTTCTCTTGTTTCTAGCAACAGTACCAGACGGGTGGAAGCAGTGGTATGCGAATTCTACACATCGTACTCGTAAGGCCTGTGTGACCAGTTTTACTCTTCGGCCGTATTACCTCCGGGTACAGAATCCATTACCTCCTTATTACAAGGGCTGTGGACTCCTAATCCGGCGTGGACGCGGTATCGAACAGAGTAATTCATACATCTGCTAGGAATCGAACTATTGTCTTGCAGCCAGTCACTTCGCTGACTGATCTTTACCTGAAACTAATTCTGGACATAGCAGGCTGATATAGATCACGAGAGTATTATTTTCCATCTTTCCCGAATAAAAATACGCAGTTAATTTTAAAATACTCATTAATAAACGTCGTATTTACTGGGGAAGGTTAGGAATAAAATATTCTTGGGAAATTTTGAGGGGACAATAAGTGTTTTCTTTGTAACAACATCTGAACCGGAGAGAGATATCACGGAAATCTGATATGCACATCATGCCATTAAACTTCGTGTATCTCGGCTCTTATATTTCTGCAGTTACTAATGGCCTACTAACACGGAAGTCGTGAAAACGTCTAGAAGAATTCAGCACCGCTTACCCTGAAGTATTCTGTAACAAAAGGTGCTGGAAGAAACATGCAGCTCTTTTCAAGGTTCTGCACAGGCTCCTTGGAATACCTGTGATAAATAGGGAATAATCACTATTAAGCCTGCGAAATTCTGTATGGAGACAAATTTTGAATAAACTCTGTCTTAGGATTTAACAGTGCCAAAAATTGTGATAACATCTGTACTACTAAAAATTTTGTACAAAAGTGGGCACTTAAATTGTTTTAACAGTTCCTGATAGTGCAAAGATACAGACTAAGACATGTGAATAAAATTGGGCGCCATGAGTTCTTCTCGCAACTTCTTGTTATTCTCAAAATTCGGTTAAATGAGGAATTCAAAGGACCAACTCTCTACGGTAATATTCTAGCTGATTTTTCAAATGCGTTTAATAAAATGTGATCCGTCCCTTTGACGTTTCTGTTCCCCTGCTCACACTCGAAATGAAGCAGCAGAAATGCATTAGCAGTTTTCAAAATATGTCGCTATATAAATAAAGGATAAAAACTGGCTTCAAATGTACAAAGTCTTATAGATTCTCTTCTAGGGCTTTAATTTTTCAGCGAGAAAAAAAAAACAGTTTGCAGTCCAGCAACCTATAGTTAGATTATGAGCATCCATACAAACATGACCCAAATTTCAATACGTATTTCCTTGCCTGCTATAAATGGTCTTTTTCTTTGAGGCCAAGTTTATTTTGTACATACACCGAGTGTCCAGGTTCTGTTATGACTGTTCATTTAAATACAAGACGTGAATTATTTTCAAAATTTCACACTTTTTATTCAAAATAGTCTCCTTCTGAATCATTACATAGCTGTAATCGATTGAACAGTTTTCGAAAACATTCACTGTACTCCTTTTGTGGAATCGCATTTAAAACTGCGGTACATTCCCTTTCTATGTTCCGAATGGTGTCGTGACGGTCTCCTTTCATCGCCAACTTGACTTCTGGGAACAACCAGAAATCTGCTGGAGCCAAATCTGGAGAATGCGGAGGGTGATCAAGGACTGTAATCCCTTTTCTGGCCAAAAAATCGCGCACGGTCTTCGATTTATGGGGTGGGGCATTGTCGTGGAGGAACGACCAGGAACCTTGCTCTCGATATTCAGGTCGAATCCGAAGAATTCTCGCCCACAAACGATTGAGGACTCCGAGATAATAATCAGAATTCACTGTTTGACCTTCTGGCAGAAATTCCTTGCGAATGATTTCTTTGTAATCGAAGAAAACGGTTAGCAGTGTCTTTACTCGACTCCTTTGCATGCGCACTTTCTTTGGTTTCGGCTTCTATGGGCTCAACCACGCTGCATTCTGCCGCTTTGTGAGAGGCTCATATTGAAAACACCTAGTCTCGTCACCAGTAACAATCGATTTCGTAAATTTTGTATCACTCTGGGACGAGCGTAACCTGTCTTTGCAGTGTTCCAATCTGGCATGTTTTTCATCGCCTGGCAGCGCGTGCGGTACAAACCCCGTACAGTCCTTCCGTTTGCCCAAATCCTCGTTCAAAATTTGATGCACAGTACTTTCTGGTATTCCCAAAAGCTCCTCGATGAGTCTTGCAGAAACACATCTGTCTGATGCAAGGATTTCGGTCACTTTTCTCATATTTTCTTCAGTGCGACTTGTTCTGGGCTTTGATGCACGTGGAGCGTCTTCGATGTCCTCCTTGCCGTCACGAAATACAGCATACAATCGAAAAATGTTCGAGCGACTCAAACAATCACTACGGTACACACTTTTCATCATTTCGTACGCTTCTGCGGCAGTTTTGCCTAACTTCAAACAAAATGTGATATTGCCTTTCTGTTCAACCGCCATTTTCCGACGAGCGTCAGAACAGTTCTGTTACATTCAAGGTCAGAACACATGATGCAGCAATGCTTGCGCTTTGAAATTATAGACAGCCACAGCTGAAACTTCAAGAACCTTAACACCACAACTAGCCAACAGACGACATTGCAGGGCAAAATTAAATGGATCCTAGGCACACCGTGTATATACTTACAGAACTAAGAGTCCCGGTCGTTTCCACCGACAGTCAAGAGGGTCACAAAGGGACTTCTTCGAGAAACACACAGGCAGAACCTTCTTTCCTTGAACAGATTCATGTTCAAATGTCCCGCACTATAATTTCCTGTGTGTAGCTTACTGGCTACCTCTAATTTAGTAACCGGACCCACCGAAATTATCATGCCTCTGCATAACAGGAAAACAGAACTATTATATAAGATAAACATACAGCATTTCCAGAATGAATGTCTTGGGTTCGATACCGGCTGGATCCAGTGAGAGTTTATCTTCATACCGCAATTTTCTTCTGGTAATTTTTGTGATCCGTTTATATAAGCAGCTTGCACCCTTGTTCAGATTCTCATGTTGGAACGAAGTTCGTTTCGCTACTCCATTTCCCACTTTTCACCGTCACCTATCAACAGAAGAAATACAGAAATCTCGCTCAGCGGGTTTTCTCGTTTCATGTGGATTTCTGCCTTAATATTTGCGAGGTGGTCAGAGGACAGGCAATAAAAGAATTATGTCTTCAATCGTAGCCACGAAAGAACAACACATAAAGGAATTTGAACTGTTGCTATGTCCACCAGGATAGAGAAATAAAATCACAAAACTGGCGCTGTTCAACTTAGGACGGATCAAATGGAGACAATTCAAGAAGCAGAAGAGAGCCGGGACATTGCAGTCTGTACAACGACTGACTACGAGCTGGACGACCAAGGAGTCGGGGTTCGAGTCCCGGTAAAGTCAAGAATTTCCTCTCCTCCACGTAGTCCACACCGTTTCTGGGACCCACCAAATCTTCTATCCAATGGGTACCGGGGCTCTGTCTCTGAGGGTAAAGCGGCCGGACCGTGAAGCTTAGCGTTCACCTCCGACTATTGCCGAGGTCAAGAAAATGTGGCTATATACATCCACTCCTCCATACACCTTCAGGGTGTAGTGTTTAATTAGTTTAGAACAGGGACAACTTTACCTTGACCTCCTCAAGGAGCCGATTCCATGAGGAAATCACAGTTTGATATTAATGCGAACCTGTCCCGGAAACGGAAGTGTTATGGGATTAAAACAAGCCGGCTGATGGCTGTTGTCACGTGATGAGAGTTACATAATGGGCGACGAGTCACTTCCGTTGTTCTAAACATAGGCCAACGATTCATCTTGCAATTTTCTTAACTTGATAGAAACAGCCGCTGAAATTTAAGTTCTTCAACTTTTATTTTGGTTCATTTAACGACTCTGTCAGTATGTAGACTGTGTAGCGTGGAATGGAGGGACGCTTTACTGAATATAGTACCCCAAATGCTGTTGAGGGAAGCAGTGGTGGCCTACCTTGACGTATTATCCCAGCACTTCCCTTGAATGGACTGAATATATTGAAGGAAAACGATAGTAAGTGTAGTCAGTGCACCAATCAAGATTCGAAACGGTCACCTACTGGATAAAAGCCAGAAGCTTAGTGCCTACCGTTTGAGATAACTTTTGCCGCATTTCATGTAGTTGCTTTGTGTTCGTTGAATTTCGCCTTGTCTTTAAAAAAATGTTTGAACTTAGTGGCAGACTTTCCAGAGACAAGCTAAAGTTTTAGTTAATCATTTCAAGAGCGAGGCAGTAAAGGCAGAGTCAGGAAGCAATGTGGAAGTCTGTGGTGTCAGTGCGAGGGCAGTAGCGATAAGACTGAAGATCTGTCTGCTTCAGAAGCAGAAAAGCACCCAAATTCTTCTGTGAATCCTGTAATTCTAATATAGTTCCAGCCCGTACGTAAGATTTGAGGTTTTCGCGGCGGTGACTATGAAGAAAGCAGTCTTCTGGGATGTGTCGCCGTGTAGATGTTGTGTTAACTGGCGTTTCAGAGAAACGTATCACCTCCATCTTCAGGGTAGAAGACACGAAGAAATCCGCGCGAACGCATCCCAGAAGACTGCTTTCTTCATTTTTTTATTGCTAGTGGGGTGGGACTAAGTCCCTTGCACTGTGGCAACTTCTGGCCTATTGTACCAGCCCCAGATGATAGGTGTAGGTGATTGTGGAGCAATTGGTAGAACGAAGATTGGCAGGGGAAACCGAAGTACTCGGATAAAACCTGCACCAGCGACACTTTGTTCATCACAAATCCCACTTGACCAGACCCAGGATCGAACCCGGGCCGCCGCGGCGGGAAGCCAGCGACTAACAGCTTGAGCTATGGCGCGGCCTTGCTTTGTTCATAGTTCCAGCCCGTTGTTAACTTGGTATGTTGTCCCAGTTTATCCAAGATTCGTCTAGGAAGTAAACCAAAGCTTTGTGGACTAGGACTACGAGCTGCAGAGGTACCGCTAGGTCCAATGAGATGAGTGTACGGCCATGAACGATGAGTTGTAAAAGGTGATGGAAGGAAGAGAAGGATCGCTTATTGTCTGTTTCAAGACACTAAACCGACACTGGGACGAAAGGATTGTCTGAAACAGTATTCATCAACCGAAGGGCCGCAACCCTGTACCGGCCCCTCATCTTACAGAAAAAAATAATTTACTGTGCCGCGGTCCGACAAAGGTTAAGAACCACTGCTCTAAAAACTATGGAAAAGTAGGAAAATTTCATCCAAAGAATTCTTAATTATTCTTCATTAAGCTACAGGATTTCATAATGTGATTATATTAACGAAAATCAGATGAGCGAAAATTAGAAATACACACAAAATTTTAGCCGGAAACCCGGAGCAAAAGACCACTTGGGATCTACAAAAGACATGACAGGGACCGATGAGAAAACTACGGGACCGACAATCATTTTATAGTGTTGCTAAGCAGTGACAAAGCACACACAGAGCAAGGTAATGTCACAAGCCTAGTTCTGTGTTTTGAAACAAGGGAAGTTAGACTAAACGTTGCTATTGTGCAGAGATATTGGGTTTTCGGACTTTATCCATCGTCCTGGTTTTTAAGATAACTAAGAAAAACACGACATTTCGGAAACTGGATCTGTTTCCGTCCTCAGGTGAGGGAAAACACCTATTCTGTTGGGTCACTGCACAACCGATGTCCCAAAACACAAGTGTTATAAACACCTGAGACCAGACTAAGTCCATGAGAGCTAATGAGAAAACTATACATTATAAACTGTTCCAAACAAGTACAAGCGTGGAACCAGGACAGATAGAGCAGTAGAAATTTATATCACGAAGCCAAACTAATAACCAAGTCAATGACCTCACGCATGGAATAGAAAGGAGAACTAGTAAAAAAACTAATAGTGTCTAACTAGCGTCAACAATGGAGTAAATCACGTCTATGCAATTTAGAACCTAATAGAAATCAATAAAATATATATCACGCCATACCAGGACGATGGATGAAGTCCGAAAACCCAATATCTCTGTGTGTTATACACCATCGTCAGAATCCTATAGTAACTACTTGTTACTATTGTGAATCCTACAAAACAGAATGTAAGTAAGGATGAGGACTCTGTTGAACAAGCTCCGAAAAATTCCAATTTAATGGTTCTTATGAATAAGGCAATGAGATTTCATCTTTCATAAAAGTAAGAAAAGTTTTGGACAAGCTGAACGACCAACAGCTTCTGTAGAAGGACTCTGTTGCATGGAGTTAAGATTGAACTCGCTAATGACATAAACTTCCTTGTACACCTTGCCACTTCCTATTCCGGGTGACCAGTCGGGGAAGAACCGGTCCGGCGGGACGCAGTTCACCAATCACGTGCCAGTCGCCTCGTCGTTCATTGGACGCTCCTGCACGTCTTGCCACCACTAGGTGAGGACCTTCTACACCCTTCAGTCACTGACATGGGGAGGCTTCGAACATGGGACCCGCAGCACGTGATAGTCTTGTACACAAGTCACCACAGGTACTGTCAAAACAGCCAAATCTCTTGCGTGTTTACTGCTATATCTTAGAGATATTTGTAGAAAGATGTGATTTCATCTTCTGTTAGATCGATTAGCATCCCATTACATATTTCCCAGTGATAAATTACAGGTTGGACTTTGAACTTGAGGCTAATAACTACTGTAGTTACGTTGCTGTTAGCTTCAAGAAAGGAGTCATTTTAATTATTTAAGATGTTCAGTTTCTACGGGAATACTGACATAGTTCTTCGCTATGATTATTTTACTGTCTAAGGTCAGCTGATTATGCAATTATATTAGAACATGTAGGGCGTGAAGCTGACCACTCACCTCCAGCTAATGCCGAGGTAAGAAAATGTGGATCTACACATTCACTCCTCCATACGTCTTCATGGCGTAGTGTTTAATTAGTTAAGCACAGGGACAACTTAATTTTATTAGAACAAGTATTCCACTGCATCTTATACATCAGATACGTTTAGGTTGTAATATTGATATAAACCAATTAGAGGCTGCATTTGTTTCTTTTGTGGTCAGCCTCTGTGTCTGTGCTGCTTGTAGAAAGATAAAGAGTTAAGTGACCACACGACTAAGCAACGCTGATGCTGATAGTGCCGTTAAGTAACAAACCGTGACATTGCAAGGAATTGCATGGTTTAACTCGGTAATGGTTGCAGTCTTCAGAGTTTCATAACTTGATTGTAGTTGTCATTTGGGAGGTGAAGACATATCTGAAATGAAGTGGTGGAATAAAGACTGAATTCTGCTGGCTTCGGATAGAGTACAGTGACGGGCTCTTGTGAATACGGCAATGAACCTTCGGTTTCCCATACATAGAGACGGAATTTCTTGAACTGTTGGACTTACCCAAGTAATTGCTGGCATTCCGTGATGTCAGTGTTTCCTTATGCCGAAAGTTATGCTAATATGAAAAATGTACAACGTACTATCACATGAAAAGAATCCCTAATTTCAACCTAATGATGATGGTTCATGACAGCATAATGAGATCATCACTTGTATTCTTCTCCAAATATAATTAGAATGATCAAGTCAAGGAGGGTGCGATTGGCAGGGTCTGTAGCACGAATGGGGGTGAAGAGGAATTCATATAAGATATTGGTAGGAAAGCCAGAAATAAAGAGACCACTAGGAAGAACAAGAGGTAGGTGGATGAACAGTATTAAAATGGATCTTATAGATATAGGATCGGTTGTTATGTATTGGATTGATCTGGCTCAGGATATGGACCAGTGGAGGGCTGCTGTGAACACGGTAATGAACCTTCAGGTTCCATAAATACTGGGAAGTTCTTGAGTAGCCGCACAATTTGCGGCTTCTGAAGAAGGGCTCAGCTCCATGGAGTCGGTAAGTTAGTGCTCATTGCCGAGGGAAATATTTAGTAACAGAGTGAAATTAGTTTCGTTTATT